TGCACTTAGGATGAAACAGTCTCTTGCACAGGCTGGGGACTGACTGGCTGGGCAGCAGCTCTGCAGAAAAGGGCCTGAGGGTTACAGTGGACAATAAGCTGAATATGAGCAGACAGTATGCCCTTGTTACCAAGAAGGCTAACGGCATACTGGGCTGCATTGGTAGGACTGTTGCCAGCAGATTGAGGGAAGTGATTATCCCCCTCTGTTCGGCACTGGTGAGGCCACATTTGGAGTAGTGTCCAGTTTTGGGCCCCCCCACTACAGAAGGGATGTGGACAAATTGGAGAGAGTTCAGCAGAGGGCAACAAAAATGGTTGGTGGGCTGAGGTACGTGACTTATGAGGAGAGGTTGAGGGAACTGGAGTTATTTAGTCTGGAGAAGTGAAGACTGAGAGGGGATTTAATAGCAGCCTTTGACTACCTGAAAGGTGGTTCCAAAGAGGATGTAGCTAGACTGTTCTCAGTGGTGGCAGATGACAGAACAAGGAGCAATGGTCTCAAGTTGCAGCTGGGAAGTTGAGGATAGATTATTAGGAAAAACTTCCTCACCAGGAGGATAGTAAAACGCTGGAACAGGTTACCCAGAGAGGTGGTGGAAGCTCCATCCTTGGTGGGGGTTTAAGACCCAGCTAGACAAAGCCTTGACTGGGATGGTCTATTTGGGGATGGTCTTGCTTTGGGTTGGACTAGATGACCTTCCAACCCTAATTTTCTATGATTCTAACCACACACTCCCTTAACACCAAATTCTCCAACCCTAACTAGAATGCTATAGGAACTAAGTAAGTCTCACTTACTGGGTCAAAACATGGCATTTAGCCAGGGACCAGGCTTGAAACTTTACCTCCTATCTGGGAACCTCAGGGAGGGACTGTCTGTCAAGGAGACATTCCATTCCTGAGTTCCTGAGCGCACAGGGTAGGATGTTTCAGCTTGTTTTTCCCCTCTTTAGCTTCTCCTTCGGCTTCAGTTTGGGAGAAAAGCAGGGACCCCAGATCGTCTCTCCATTTGTACTGTCATATATCTTTGGAACACATGGAAGGAAAAGTCTTCTCTCCTCTGAGCCCTGTAATAGTGAGAGGCTATGCCAGTGAGAGAAATAACGTCTTACATGCACCCAAACCTCTGTATACCTCCATAATGGTCTCTCATAGTTTCTTCTGATTAGTGCAGTGGGAAACTTGTGTAAGTATTACTTGATACAAATAAGGGGTTCAGAATCTGACCTACAAACAACTGTGTATAGGTTACAACTAAACTGTTATGACAAGCAGAGGTTCTTTGTTCATAGTAATATATGATTTTTGTCCATAGAGCAGCCTTATTTAAAATTCACAGATTAACAGGTCATTACCACGTACCCTTCTACAATTTTTTATTTTCCAATATTTATTTCCATGTGTTGCAGATACCTACAGAACTGTTTCCCGGATGCCATACATAAAATAGTAATAAAAATACATAATCTAGCATCTGCAAAATCATGAATTCCAACAGTGTACATAGTTGCATCCCAGCAACAGTGTACGCAGAATTAATTTAAAACAGTTCTATTTTCTTACAGTAAAACTGTAGCTCAGTTAACATTAAAATAAACTATAGGGTAAAAATGATAAAATCTGTGATTGCAGTACATTCGCTGTTCTAATGTATTGGAAGTGTGTGTGTATATGTGTACACATATAAAAGGCCTGGTCCCACTAGAGTTAATGGACATTTTTGCCCATGGGAAGAGATACAGGCCCACATATATTTAAGTTTTAAAATATTATTTTTGATGCCTGTCCATTTAAGGGAACTTCATTGTGTTTTTCTTCTCATCTCAAAGCCAAATATGTAATTCCCTAGGCTCTTTATTTGAAGCTGACTTAAAAACATGCAATTAAAATATAGTTACAAATGATTGAGTGACATCTTTTACCTTGGTAGCAAACATCATTTTCAGTTAAGGTAGGCAAGAAGAAAAACAAAATAGAAAGTGTTAAGATTGAAGGTCATTTCATATCAGGTTTGTGTAGGGATAAATTCTCTCAAACACCATGCTTTATGGAATTATCTTTTAGGAGAAGCTGGGGCTGCAGTTTTTTGACTTCCCTCACGGGAACAAGGCTGCTGTTTGTCAGTATTTGCACCTGCCTGAGCAGTGAAGGCTGCCTTAAACAATGCTGATCAACTCCAATTCTGTTCCTTACTACCCCTCCCCCTAACTTCCAGGGGAATCTGTCTTTCCTGTCACTCAGGATAATGATTCCCTGCAAGCATAACTGAGATCCAGAAACTCACTGTAATCTCATCAAGAGTTTGATTCCCCAGCTGGGACTCTTGAATTTATACAACTGGAAAGTAGCTGGTCATTGCACTTAAACTTGTACACTGGTGAGCTGAGCCACCAAACCAGCTGAAACATCTCTTTTCTCCCAGATATAGCTGTTTGTTGCAGTCATAAAATCAAGAAATTTCATCTCATAAATTTGGTTTTAACTAACTAGATCTACCTCTCCAGTCAAAGGGATTTTTGCTTTTGTTTTTCTGTGGCTTAATAACTGAAAGTAGTCATCAGCTGATTTCCAAATCAGGAACTAGTGCAATGAATATTTAATTATATAATATCTTAAATTACAATTTCATATTGTGACGAGAATGCCTAATCTTGTAGATTTTCAGAAGTAAAAGCACTAAAGAATAGCTTTGCCCTTCAGAAATATTATTCTGTGTATTTAAATGTCTGATTGACCTTTTAATCAGACATTGCACCTTTACTTCCAGCTGATATGATAATGTCTGACAGAGTAACTCAACCTGATGCTTCAAGAAAGTAAATAAAAGCCATTTCAGCCTCCGGGATATAAAAATAAGTAGAATCCATAGTAGAATGTTTAAATTACCTTTTTAAACAAAAGCAATATATACATGCAATACTTATACATGGTTAACCAACCATTCTTTTAAGATTGACTTAAACTTATAGTTGCTTATTATTATTCTAAGCTCAAGCTTCTTTTATAGTCAACTTCTTTATAAATTATAAATCTGTGCACCTCATTTATTATCAGCAGCCATCTTACAACACTGAACTGTGTGGATGGTCTGGCAATCATATTAGCTCGCCCCAGTATACCTTGTGAGGAAGGTTTGCTTTGCTTTCCCATTATCAGCTCTAGAACTGTGCATGTGTGACAGAACAGAATAGGGATTGTTTATGAGCAATATAATAAATTTCTATTTTGGAACATACCTGCACAAAGAAAAGTAATATTTCAAGTATGTTTATTCAACAAGCAAACTCATTGTCTTTGGAAATTAATTTTCAAATGAGTTATTAAACTGTAGATTCATAGAGAGAAGTAGGTTATTGAATAGAATAGTTTAGAATTCTGGTGACACAGCAAAAATACTTTCTTCTCTGATATTTTTGTGTGTGCATGAATGACAAAGGTCCAATGAGAGGAACTCTGTTTCCTTTTTATTTCTTTGCTATATTTATTAAACTATTTAAATATTTCATCAAGTAGACCTGTATAGTGTTTGAGCCTGAATATGACAGCTGGCCAAATTTACAGTAGAAAATGTTTGCTGTAGTATTTCTCAGTTCTGTAGAATTTTGAAAAGATGCCTTAAAACTGATGTGAATGACTGGAGGTGCATTAAGGCTCTACCATAATACCCACAAATTTTCTGAGTGCATGATGTTTAGCTGTATGTAGTGCAGCAGTGGAAAACATCTAAAAGTCCTCCATCAAAAAACGCTATAGATTAAAGACTATGCTTCTTTTCAGTGGCATTTTTTAATTATGGCTTCAGCATTATCTGCAGGAACTATTTTAACACAAACATATTTATGTGCAGTTTCTTGCAAGAAGTTAAACTTCTTCAGATGTGACATTAGCAGATGTGGGCAGTTCTTAATGAACCAAATATGGCTGGTTGGGGATACCTGACATGAACTGTCATTTAGATGTTTAGACAATAGTAAGGGCCTGATCCTGCCCTTACTGTTGTCAATGTAAAATCATTAACTGTGGTGAGAGTAGGAATGGACCCTGTGATTCCCATCCTTTTTGATGCTAAGCACCTTTAATCCCCACCAGCTTTGAATGGCTTTGGTACCTCATGGTAAACACTCAGCACCTTGCAAGATCAGGGCTGAAGTCCCTTATGTACATTACGTTTTTTGAAACTGTCTGCCCAAATGTGTACTAAGACACCTCAATAAAGTGACATAACATTTTAAGAGCCCTTGCCTGCAACAGGAGTAATGGGAGCTCAGCCACATTGAAATTAAGACCATTTATGTTTAGGGCTGAGGTGTAGCATGTGGTCCAGTTGATGCCTGTGAGCGATTCTCTTAAGTTAGCTGGATGCCTCATGATTAAACTAAGCATCATGCTTAAGTGTGTTGCCGTATCAGAACTTAAATATAGAATGAGGCAGTCAACCTGATGTTTGAAAACATTGTCATATCTTTTCTAGATGTCAACACAGATACGTCAGCTTATTGTGCATATACTGACGGATAGATTAATGTCTTCATTATTCTTCCAGTGAAAGAAGTGTCTCACCAAAGAGTGTGTCTAGCCTACAAAACCACCCTATCACAATCATACACCCAATATGCCAGTGGATAGTGAAAACCTTTCCAAAATTTTGTGGTAATTCTAGGACTACTGTCCAATTTGAGAATATACTTCCTAGAATTTTTATATTAATGTTTACATTTCCATGGCTATGCTCTTTAACTAAAGAAGAGGTAGTTAGCACACGGTGTACATATATATTATATATATGCATTGAATATATATTTTATATATAATCAATCCTAAAATGGCACATTTTTAGAAGACAGATGTTTCTTTTAATTTTCAAGTATGTGAGGCATCATGTTATACTTAGATAACTAAAACTATGGCTAACATGTAAAGGAAAAACAGCTAAAAGAAATCTAATTTTATAATGCCACAGAAAGAAAGCTTAACTTGTTTTCTTGCTTTTTTTTATAGAGAACACCTGTTCCCAGCGCTGAAGCATTCCGATGGTTCTTTTAAGCAGTAGTATATCTTATTTTCAAGGCAGTCCGAAGTGAATGGCAAGCTAAAGTCTTGTTTTAAGAAACTGCTTAGTTCACCATTGAAGAATATACTCAGATACTATTTTCATTTATGTATAGGGGTTTCCTCAAAAACAAAACATAAAAAATCTGGAAGCCTGGGGAATTGGCCAGTTTATTCACATTCAGTACACTGATTCTTTCTTTGATGTAACTTAGCTATACTAGTGAAGTTGTTGTCTATTTTTAAAGTGGCTGTAAAAAAAAAAAAGTTTGGGTAAACCCCTGCTATAAAGTCATGTATCTTTGAAAAGTAACATAACTATACTTCATTTTCAAATATATGTGTTTCAGTACTGTAAACTGTACAGATAGCAGCTTGTATTTTGTGTGTTTAGACACAAGGAGACAATCATGTCTGAGCATCTATGGAGATTAACGGTTTGTACACAACAGTGTGGATCTGCGAGTTAAATCTGGAGCAATAAATTCTAGCTTTAAATATTATTTTGCCAGTTGTTTAGTAGCAGCAGCAGCACTGTTTTACCATGCATCCTTCCATAGAGACTTGATGCCAAGTTTTACAAGATTAAAAGATTATGATGCATCTAGCAATTACCTTCCGTTGTATTGTTGTAAGAGGGGAAGACATAAAATTTAAAATTAATCTTTTTGAGCACTATATTAGAGTAGTGGTTATGCACTTGCATTGCTTCCAAAGGAGCTTTATGGAAGGGTGTCCCTCCAAAGTGACGTACCATAGTGGACTTGCTTTTGATCGAGCTGTACGGTGGAGTGCACAGCACAGATAGACATGCAGAACCAGTTATATATATATAAACCTTGTTCTAGGATACATAATGAAAAAAGTACCATATGTTCAAAAAAATTGTGATGCAATATATACCTTCCCACTAAGAATTGTTATGTAGGTTTTTCGATAGATGGAATAATAACTTTATAAAATATATAAAAATATTTTCGCTCCATGTGCAACCTATAGTGGTTAGACAAGTTTACAAATGTAGGGTCTCTCCTGCAATTCTGCAGGATGTGAGAGCCTAGATATTTTTTAAATTATGAAAATTAACCCTTTTTTTAAAAGAGTGGCTACTTATCCCCACACATCTTTCTTTGTCCACTTATCCCGGCCTTGCTGAATCACTGGTCCCTGAGGCCCTCGATGGAATGCTGCACCATTCTTTCTCCTGTTATGGAGGACACTGAACTTACAGACACTTCATAAAGATTACCTCATCACTTATTTATAGTCTGGCTTTGTCAGACCACTTATGATTGAAAAGGCCATCCCATCAGAGTAAGAGAATGCTGTTATGTCATGTACCATATATATTTATTATTTTATATACACAATAAGATTAGAAGTACTAGTAGCTTTACAGACCAGGTACCAACTATGAAAGTAATTGATTAATGATGCAGAGAATGTTCAAACAGTATTGTATGAGCACAGTCTCCATTATCTGCTAACTATTTCCATTGGCACGTGTTCACACACACTTGCTTGAGGAACACTGGATGGTAGGGAGAGCAGCAGAGTGTGTCATCCACTGACTGGGGAGAGTCAGAGTCTTGTGCGGATGGGGGGAGGGCTTGTGGTCCAAGGACTGAGGAACATTGAGAATGGTCAAGAAACCTAAGACCAGCAGAGATGGAGGAAGAGCAGCATCTTAAATTTGTGTGTAGGCAACAAAGATTGGTAGAGCATAGGTCTGCTAGGACCAGAGTAGAAGAGCATCAGAGGATGAATGTTATGAGATGGAAGAGTTTGCATATGCATTTTCAGCAGTAGGACTGAAATACATATCCTGGGTCTTGTGTAGTATGACATCATATATATAATTTCTGGAAAATATGTCATATTTGAAATGCTTCTAGTATATGCCCCTCTCTTATATTTTATAAAACTCCATGAATTAAATGACCATAGTGTGAGCTTACATGTGTTTACTTGGCAGCTTTGTACTGGTTGTTATTTAATTTGAGACTTTCTGGTCAGGGCCTCTGTTATTTACTGCTGGACCAATAAGAGCTATGTAAGATCTTCTTTACCAAATTGCTAATTGATTTAAAAAAACGATGGAAGCCTTATTTGCACATCTGGCTGGTGAACTTGCCTTGCTTTTTTGAAAATTGTGATTGCTCTTACAGAAGTAGAGAAATAAATTCAGTTCAGGCTACATTAGGTGTACAAAGATATTCATAGCAATGTACTTACTGTCTAATACCCTAATGTTGCATGTCTTGATGTGGTTTTTTTGTTTTGTTCTGTTGTTTTGTTTTAAAAAACTGATGGATCTGTATATTGTAATTGTGGTGTTTTACATGTCAATTCAAAATTGTTAAAAAAACCAAACCTGTTGATTATTAAAAATGAACAACGGTTGATTTTTTTATTATTTCCACTTATGCTTTTGATTTTGGATATTGTTCCTGAACATCATCAAGATTTTACAATTTGGTAAAACAATATTTCTATAATGTAGTATGTATAGAGATTTTTTTCATTATTGATGTTTGAAGAAGGAAATCTCTTTTCTGGCCTCTCTCTTTCTCTCTCCTATACAAAGTATATTAATACTTGTAAATCAGATTATTGTCAAATTCTGATGACTGAAATTGTGCTTTTCATAAGATCCTAAAATACTTCATAATAAGAACATTTTTATTCCTCTATGTTTTTCTTTTCCACAGCACAAAAAATGCAGAACACACCTTTGGTCTTCTAGGTGTGAGCACTAAGTGTGCATAATAGATAATTTCTTTTTGTCTTACCCCAGAACAATCTATTAAATTATAAGGCTGGTAGGGCGGCACATATGCATACACAGTGTGTGAATTAATAGCAGATACTCCCTAAGAGAAAGAAAATATTCCCTTTTGTTCAGAACCCCTGGTATGTAAGTCATACAATTAATGCTAAAGAATATAAAGTCTTTAAACTGGCTCTATCTGTAATCAAATAATGAAGAAAGAAAGTAGTTAAATGAACATACCATTCAGGGTCGAATACATTCAGCAAAAAGCAGTAGTGGGTCTTTGATCATGGTTAGATGCATAGTGATATCAAACAGTTGGTTCTCATGTAACAGCTAAATGTTTCAGATTTTGTTTTTATTAAATTTGGCAGTTTCACACTGAGATCTACTGTATTCCTAGTGAATAAAAGACAGCGCCTCTGTTAGAAAGTATTCCATTTTCACAATTGCAGGGAACTAGGAGATTTTTCAGAAACATGGGCCACAGAAATGTACTCCTTTCACAGTGTTCTCCTATTTCTGAACTGTGCAGTTATCTATTAAATTTTCTAATAGATATTTGTGTAAGGTGTATGTATGCTTGTGCAATTATGAAAAAAGCAGTTTTGGAAAACAGTGTATTTATTTAAAAAAAAATCACTTATGGGGCATGTACAAAACTGTATAAAAACATTCAATTTGCCCAGTAAAGTTGTTTTTGTGATATTTCTGTGTTGTTGAATAAAGGACTTTAGTATTCAAAAGATCTCTCTTTTTCCATAAACAGGTTTTTGCTTGTGGGATTATAAACAATGAAAATGTTATCCTTAGAAAGCTACTCATCAAAATAACCAAGCTGGTTCAAATGCTGAACTGAGTCATTTATTTCTGAATGAATGCTTGTGGTACAATAGCTGCAGAAAGTTCCTGATTTTAGTTGACAGTTGACATAAACTCCGTAAGTTGTGTACCAGAAAGGAACATAGTACAATGATTTTTTCATGACAACACAAAACAGACTTTTTAAAGGATTGGAAAATGTTACATTAGACTTTTGAAAATATGAAAAAAAATACTCAAATAGAAACAAAATGGACTAAGGAAAAATGCTTCGGCTCATTAATATGGAGACTCATGTCTAATGGAGAAACAGTTGTGAGGTTGATACTTACAGAATTATATAAGGAGAAAGCATTCAATGATTACATTTCATCCATAATACTGCTATAACCAATGGTAATCCTCAGGAGTAAACTATAGCTTTGTTATTGAAAAAGTTTGGACTATGAACATGGTTTATTACGAAGTGGCAGTAGCGCTCTACCCTTCTTTTGCTACTTCTCAGTGCAAAGTTCTGCTCTTTAGTCACCTTGTAAACTACAAGAAGAAGAAACAGGTTCCTGTATGTTGTAAATTCTGCTGTGCTTACAGACTCTGGAATAACTTCAAACATGTTCCTGAAGTTCTTGACTACAGAATACAATGACAACACATGACCAAGTTTTTATAAGATTTGGAATCATACTTTTCTGTTACTATTCCCTTGCTAAACATAATACCTAGGCTACTGCATCAAAAACTGATTGTTGAAGGTTCAGAAGGAAGACTTAGATCATTTGGTCTATGAGATTCCCTGAATACCTAGCAATTTTTGTCAAGGAGTCAATGTATCTCTTGTTAGTTTTTAACGTAAGCAACAAAAATGAAAAGAATAGAAGTAGAATTTTCATTGAGCCAGCTTTCATTCATTGAAATCTTTAAGGATATATGTTCTTGTGAGCTTCAGAATTCTCATTAAACAATACAGAGCGTGCATTCTGAGTACAATCTGAATACAGTAAGAGGGCTGCATTTTACTTAGAATAGACTGTGATCTCTGGATTAAGCATAGTATTCTGGCTGGCTAAGGAATGATATTCAGTTGTTGAGATGGCTGATTTGGATACAGGAAAGGTCTCTGTGTTCTTGCCCTTTATCTCTTTTAATGGTTTTCTTTCAACTTTAAAAAAATGAAAAAAAAAACCACTGGTTTTATTTTAGGGATGCGCCTGATATAAAACTCTCCTCATCTTGGGGAATTTTGACCTCAAATCTGACTTTTCTTGTTTAGACTTACCCCTGCTTTTTCTAGGTGTATTTATTAATTTTTAAGTAATTTTTCAGAACAAGACATGACAAACATTTGTAAACCAGGATGGGGGAAGGAATATCCTGTTACATGGAAACTCCATTCTATTAAGAGTTCAGCTTTAATATGCTTTAACCACTACCCAGTTCAGCTTCTGAGCTATTTCTCCAGTGAACAAGTCTACAAGCCTGATCATGGAAGGTGCGAAGTGCCTTTTGTGAGGTTCCAAGCATGCTTAACAAACTTTATTAGATACATAGCTGGATTAAGCCCTACTTAGGCAATTCAGTTTTGCTTTCAAGGAAATGATAGCTATTTAACTTAACAGAAGGTACATGCTGTCATCAACACGTTGCAGAACTACCATGCATTGTAGTGTGTATGGATATATGTCCCCAAAATTTAAACAGGTAAGAGACACATCTCACTGATAATAAATTCTGGAACATATAATAAAGATTGAGATCAATAGAATTACTTGTGGAATTAGGTATTATTCAGCATAAAAAGGTAGTAGAACCAGGTTCTAAATTAGTTTTGATCTTCTGGTTGCTCAGATAGCCTGGTGGTGGTGGCCATGATAAATATGCTTAACTTGCTGGTCTTTCTGGAAAGTGATGTTTTTTTGGAAACACGGTGTGGGAAACCTGTCTAGAAAATTGTACCCACTTTCAGTACTGGTTTAACCTTTCTAAAACAACTGTAATGTTCAGAAATTAAACATCCCCATTACTTTTGTGAAGGTAAAATCAGTAGTAAAGCAGGATGGACATTCATTACATTTGATGGCTAGGAGTAAGCTGTGTACTTCTCCCAAGCCTCCCAAAATGGCTGTGTTAGTGCATTTCTGCAGGGGTTTAATTTCCCATTAAACTTTGAAGATTAGTTCTTGACCTAGCATCACAGTTCCTTTCCATCAATGGTGGGGAAAGATGTGTTATCACTGGGATTCAAATGGTCTGCTTGGTTTGTTAGGGAACTTTGTGAGAGAGAAATTCAAAATAACAGTGCAAAAGTGTGTATATGTCATGAGGTAAAACAGAGCCTCAATTAATTATTCAGTGCGGGTCTGCCTATTTAAACTTGTAATGCATGAAAAATCTGTGCAAGGAGAAAACCTTATACCCTTGTTCCTTTTTTCGTTAACTCTTCCCTCCTTACAGAGCTAATAACAGGTAGTTACACTAACTGTCTGCACTTCTCCCAGGGAGCACAATTGGGATAAATACAACCCTTGCTTGCTAGTTGGGGAGATAATTTATGTTCAAAAGAAAGAAAGGAATTATCCCAGGTTGGAGACTTCTGTTATTTATCCAAACCTCCTGACATTAATTCTTTCTGCACCAGATGTAACATGTAAGTGAAGACTAATCCCCAGCTAGAGGATCCAGAAACCAGAAGATGACCAGCACTGAAGTAGACAAGAACCAGCACACATTCCCACTCCCATCTTCTTGGCATGCACTATGCTTGACACCAGTGTTATACATCCAATCTCTTCCCCCTTCTACACACACACTTTATTTTGGGTACCTGGACATCTGAGTTTCTGATATTCGTAAGATGCAGGGAAACCTCACAGAACTTGATGACCATGCAAAATATTTGATGACTTTCATCTGGAGAGAAAGGATACTGTATCGTTTTCCAAAGTAAAGTAAGATAATGAACTCAGGAACCCAGATCAGCATCTCTTGTATAAGCACACCCCCAGTGTCCTAACCAGGAATATCTGAGGCCAACAGCCTTTATGAGAAATATGTGATACTAAATATAATTGGTATATTGTGCCTTCATTTTTACTCTCACTCAGAATTTGATTAACAGTTCATCTAACCAGTTGTAGTGCTAAATCAAAATGTATCATTTAATATTGTAACTGTGTTATAAGAAATGGTTACAAACAAGTGGCTTCCAACCTTTATTGGAGAATTAATAGGTAAATAGCTGATTTAAAGTTATCACTCACATTAGGAAATGATTTCAATTATTGCTTGCTGATATTCTTCTGCTGCTTGTTTTGCCTTTTATGCTGATTGTTTGAATTAATAGAACTGATTTGCCTCTTTGATGGTGTGTCATGTGATCTGATGATTAATTTTTGTGAGCTATCATTAACTCCAACCTACAGCTAAATTGCTATATTTATTCATTTCTTATGAATACCTTGTGGAAACAGAATTTTACAGGTTAATAAATTTGGACTTGAACTGGATTAAAAATTTCTGTTTGTCAGTTCTTTCCTGCTTTTAAAAAACACAGACATAAGGGACATAAATCTGGCATAAACTTCAACTCGATTTAACCAGATTTCTGTAATTGTCCCACAGATGCTATCAAGAGCAAACTCAGAAATAGTACTTCTAATGGAAAACCTTATTTTCAAAGTCATTTTGCATTTTAGCCAGAGAAAGAAGTGTCCTCACCTTTTGTAAACTTTCAGATAGCAAGGCTGAGGGGGAAAAGTGCTTGGAGTTTTCTTTCAACAAGTTCCTGTTTCAGAGACCTCCTTTCTTAAAAAATACAGCACGTAAAAAGCACTGATGCATTAACTGTTCATCTTCTGTGGCTAACTTGAAGTCTTAATTCTCTATATCCATCAAACTTGTGTGTTGTTTTTTTTAAAAAATACCTGAAAAATTGTATTGAAAGACTGTAAGTCAACCACTCAAGCATTCGGAAATACCTGAAGTGAAGCTTAATTCAGGTACTGAGCATATGCAACATGATAGCCTTACCAAACATCACACGGGAAATTTGTGGTAGAGCCAGAAATAGAAATCAGCTGTCTGGGTCTTAGTTTCATGCTTTCAACAAAAAAGAATGCCCTTTGTCTTCTTGTAGATTTCTGCCTTCCCTGTCCATCATGCCCACTGAATGAAGTCAAAGTTTTGTGGAACACGTAGCACAGTCCCATGAAATTAAAGACTGTATCATAATGCATATGAACTAGACAGCAGACATAAAGAAACAACTTTCAGTCTGGCATTTTATAATTTAGAGCATGGGAGTTTACAACCTAATATTTAGCATATTTTATTTTGATAGGAAATTGAAAATATGGAAATTCTATTGTGTAGAAACATACTTACTCCTTCTTGGTCATCACAGTACTTATTAGCAGGGTTTGAACCCAGGTCTTCTGCCATCTACAGCCCAAATTTCTAACACTTGAGTTTAACAGTAACTGTCAGTATTAGGTTGTTGGCATCGCTTTACAACCTTGTCTCTAGGGAGGAATGTGACATTCACACTGGTGGAGGTTTACACAGCTATTTGTACTAGTCAGTGCAGGAATGCTGAGAATCAGGATTCTCTGATTCTAGCCCTAGTTCTGCAGGAAAATATATTCCTGTGGCACAGCCAAGTGCATACATTTGGCACATGCATTGTGAAAGACAGGGATGAGATTTGTATCTGCCATATTAAACTGCTGGTGCTAGAATCTGGTCTCTGCTATAGCTCCTCTTTGTTCCTCCAGCATTATACATCAGGAGAATTCTAAAACAGGCAGCATAG